TTTTTTTTCGATGAGTTGTAGTGCAGAACAGGTTCCCCCCGTATAACTGCTGCTATCGAGGAAATGTTGTAGTTGAACGATTTTATAATTCTTTGCATGAATTGTACATTCCTTCTTGCACGGAACGAGGATGTCTTGCGCAAGACAGTTACAGTAATCAAGTTGTCTTGAGGAGTGCATCAAGCCTACCTTTTGTGGGCACGGCTTCACTATCACATTCAGAATAGATTAAAATGAACTTCACTGTGCTCCACAACTGCGCATTATCTCAAGATTAATGTCCCTATTTGCGTAAACTACCGCCTGTCCAAAACACTTTTCTACCGTTTTTTGGAAGGGGTAGGTTTAGGCTAGGGTATGGGCATATTCTATGTAACAGGTTCTACACTGGCCCTTACATAAAAGAGTGCGACTGATCACATCGTTAGTTCCGAGTCATCTATCGCAGCGTTTATGACTTGAGGTGATCGAGGAATGTACAGCTATGATTTGCGCACTTTCGTGAGTAGGACGGCATTTTAGAATAAAAGGCTGTAGTTTTCATATTGAAATTTTTGGAAATTTGCTTCTAAGGTCTGTGTATCTTGGCCTTTTTATCATGGAAATCACCATTCAGCTGTATCGGAAGACGAGTTCAAGCTCTACAAACAGCTATCACTTAAAAACGGCTGAAGATTCACTCTCTAGGCCTAATCTTTAGCCGTTCTCAAATGATAGCTGTTTGTAGAACTTTAACTCGTCTTTATGTTACAGTTGAGTGGTGTGATAAAAAGTTAGAGCCAGATGAATGCTTAGAAAACAAAGGAATTTATCAGAAAAGGATTGGCGCTCCTTGCGCCTGTAATCTGGAGTACTGTCACAATTGCACACAAAACGAAATTATCCTCAAGTTTGACTGGAAATGCGCGAATCACCTCGTAATTTCTGGAGCAAGCACTTTTTTTCAGCAGCAACTCCGAATGGCAGTCCGAGGCCTCATGAGGTTGAATGCATAGATCTGGATGACGAGACCAATGAACCTCCTGCCAAAAAAGCGAAAACTACCAGTGATTCCAATGACTCCGACGTTGCTGTTATCAACGTGAGTGAATCTTACACTTCTGTAAATTTTTTTTCAAATGTAATTTCAAGGGAAAAGACGAGAAGTCACCGACGAAGAGTGAGGATTCGAAGGAGAAGGAGGCAGAACTCACTAGTCCCGGGGCACTATTGAACAAATTGGAGGAATATGTTGCAGATGTGAGTTTCGCAGTTTGCCTATTTGTTCTATCCGCTATACACAGATATCGTTTAGGCCATTGATAATCGGAAGAACATCGACAGAAAAGTTCTCGATGCGTTATTAGGAGCCATAAATGTGCAAGTGCAAAAGGAGCCGTTGAGTGTCCGGAAGCTCATCCTCGACAAACAACTTGTACTGCCCAATACTATATCATTCCCACCAAGTCTGGTCAGTTTTCGGGACTTTCAGCCCATGCTTTGCGATTTACATGTTGTGTCATGAGCATAATTTTTTACAGACCGTGGATATGCTCATAGAACACGATCCGGACCACCCGCTTTCCAAGGTTATCACGCGGATGTTCGGTGAGGAACGACCGAAGTTAAATGAATCGGAAAAGAAGGAGCGACAAAATCTGAAGGTATGAGTTCTGTCAGATACAGCTGCTTGCAAAAAAACTTGTTTCAAGGCTTTGGCCGGGCGTGGTCTTG